GGGTAACCCTGCTGATATTTGAAATACTGATGATGTAGCTTCCAGAATCATAGCAACACACAAGCCGCCACAGTATGACGAATTGACAGACTGGCAGTGGACCTTAGGAGTAGGGATCTGGAATCTACATTTTTAACAGTTCTCCAGAGGAAGAGAGTCTTATAAACATCAAAATTAGAAAGCAACTTCCCTAAAACCATAAACCCTGGCATCCCATATTTATTTCATGTGCTCTTTTTTGAGTGTATCAGACAGATGCATCTCTTCTTTCTTGCATCGTGGTCTTCACTGTACTTGTAGCACTGCACACCTCTGCACAGTTTCTGGGAGGGAGCCTCAGGGAGCAGATCCACATCCAAGTCAGCTGGGGATTTTCCTCAGATCTTTCCAAAAGCATGACTCGCACATTTGGATTATGGCCGCTGTGGAAGGTGAGCAGCTGCTAAGAAGATCGAGGAGATGTTTTCAGACAAAACAAGAGGGACTTTGAAGAGACTGTGGACATCTCAACTTCCCTAGAAAAATGGGTAGGGAACTGGACTTTTCTGCCCAGAGGCAGGGAGATGGCCCCTGAGCTAGGATGTCAGAGCTGATGTGGGCTTGGGGCCTGGGATCTCTCCACCCTGGGCTGCCTGGAACTTACGTTCCTGCTGCCGTTCATCCTTCTAATCCACTGTCACCCATGCTAGCACCCATGGCTCCCAACCAGGCAGATTCCTCCCTCTGTCCCCTCCCATTGGGTGTCCAACTCTCTGTCTTCGGAGACGGTTTCACCTGAGATGGCCATTCCAATGGAGGCTGCTGAGACTGAGATGGATCAGCTCAAGAGCCTCAAAGCCGTCTCCTCCTGCGCCCTTGAATCTCCTCTCTTCTCCTCCCCCGCTTTATTCCCCTCCTTCTCCTTGATCTGCCTGCCTCTCTCTTTTGCCCTTCCTGTCTTAATAGATTGAAACCAACATTGTGTTCCGGCTTCTTGTGGTCCCAGTAAATAGCTCTTAATGTGGCTGTGGTGGATGGATGGAGTGGATGGTGAGAGTGTGTGTACCAGTATGTGGGGGATAGTGGGGGGCACTTACCTTCCATCTCAGGTGGGAGGGCAGAGTCATGCCCATACCCTGAGGTTTCAGCAGAGCCCTCATGGGGGAATGGACCTGCATAGGTGTCCTCAGGTTCTGCCCTTGCTATGCACAGGAAGACACCTGGGTGATGATGCAGAACCACCTGCAGAGAGTGGCCTTTGCTGCCAGCACTGGGCAGTCAGGAGCACAGCACCAGCCTCTTCTTTGAGGACAGCAATAGATATTTCCATTTGTTTCTAGTAAGCAGGATTTCATTTAACAGTTCACACTTCTTCGACTTTCTTACTAAGTCTTCATGGCTAGGCAGTTATTATTCTGGCTGCAGCTGCAAACGATAGCCCATGTAGGGTAAATTATATGGCAGAATAAGTTTAATATTGACATTTTCCAAATCGATGAGGGGTGAGGCCTGCTCAGAAAGGGCAAGGGAGAGCCAGAATCTCAGGTGGCGGTCATCTGTGTGGATCCCTCCTCCCTGCTTCAGGGATAAGGAGCCTGGTGGCGCAGTGGTTAAGCAATCGGCTATTAACCGAAAGGTCGGTGGTTCCAACCCACTAGCCACTTGATGGGAGAAAGACGTGGCAGTCTGCTCCAGTAAAGATTAAACCAAAACCAAACCCACTGCTGTCGAGTCAATTCCGACTCATAGCGACTCTATAGGACAGAGTAGAACTGGCCCATAGAGTTTCCAAGGCCATAAATCTTTATAGAAGCAGATTGCTACACTTTTCTCCCATGGAGTGGCTGATGGGTTCAAGCCACCGACCTTTCACTTAGCAGCTGGGCGCTTTAACCACTGTACTACCAGGGTTCTTTCCTTAAAGATTATAGCCTAGGAAATCCTATGGGACAATTCTACCCTGTCCTGTAGGATTGCTATGAGCTGGAATTGACTCAACGGCAATGAGTTTTTCAGGCCTTGGGGATGCATTCTTCGTTCTCTTGCCAAGTAGCCACAGCTCTCTTTTTCTGAACCACTAGTGAGATGCTGGAGTGGGTCTGCCTTCTCTAGGGAGGAAAGAACGCTCTCAGATTCTCTTCTCATTGGCTTCTGTGTCTGGGTGCAAGTAGGGAAGCTGAAGCCATTGGACACTTCACCCTTTGCTTCACTCCTCCCCCACTTCCTAGACCACATGAGCACGGACTTGAGGGATGAGGGGGTGCAGGGGCTGGAGGTGATCACAGACCTGAGAGGAAAACTCTGGGTATCTCATGGTGGAGGCTGCAGAGTGGGGCCAGGGCCCAGGAGTGGGACTGTGTTCTCTAGGGCCAGTGGCTTTCCAGGCTCAGTAGGAAGGAAAGACAGCTTTTCAGACTACCACTAACTGGTCTGTGGGGCCCCATTCTCCCGGGAACAAGCCCCTGAAGTTTGAGTGTGGAGAGAAGCTCCTGTCTTCAAAATTTTTCCCCTCTGGAGGCAGCCAGCTGGTGTCTATTCTCATGACTCTTTTGCATGGTTAGTCTGGGAGCAGGATCCCAGTTCTTTGGGGTGACACAGTATGAGGGGAGTATCTCTCACCCTTCAGCTCCCCCCTTTTTACCCCAGAAGCAACAATAGTCCCCCTTTTTGGAGACCTTCCTCTAGCTTGGACCCCCTTAGAGATGATGAAAGGCAAGTTGAGAGAGGCAGCCAGGCTTGGAGCTATGTCTTGGCAGCTTCTGGGGGCCCAGGCACAAGGGGCAGGTTGTTGGAGAGTCAGAACGTATTTTAGCCAAACAGCTCCAGCCCTTTCCAGTTCAGACCAGTCCCCCTCCCTGGGAGCCCTGGGCTGCTGCAACACTGGCCCAGTGTCGCTTGGGGCAGGCTGCTGGCTGAGGGCCTGAAGCCCCAAAGCCCCAGGGAAAACTGGGGGCAGAGAGATGGTTCTGGGCAGGGATGCAGCCCCCGGGTGTGTAGGGGAGGGGACGTGTGAGCCTTGTTGGGCATCTCTGTGTTAGTTGTCAGTGATGTAACATGGTTGGCCTGTGGTTTGTGTGTGTGTGTGTGTGTGTTGATCAGGATGTTCCCGTTTTGCGGTTGTCTGATCACTTGTTTCTGGCCGTGGGCTTCTGTATGACTGTTTATTTTTAGAGGCTGCCACTTCTGGCCTGAAGGTTCATCCCTGGGCATGGTCAAAACGTTTGGATTTTGTGGCTTTAAATTTAAGTACTTATTTGGGAGGTATTCTGCCTTTTCTGTGTTTATTGTGCTTTATGTGTGTGTGCCCGTGTGTGTGTGAGGGAGTGATATGAGACAGTGTGGCATATTAACAATCATCTGGCCTTGGAGGTAAATTCGTTCTGATTTTAAATCCCAGACTTACTAGGCCACATGTGATTGCAAATAAATGGTTTCACTTTTCAGAGCCTCTGTTTCTCCATGATTAAAATAGAAATAATCCTTCTTGTCTCCCAGGATTAGAAATAAAGTATGTGTAAAGCGCCTAGCCAAGTGTTGAGCGCATAATAGATGTTCACTGAATGTTGGCTGTTATTGTTGGTATTTGTGTACACACACCTGCACACACATATGCTCCGATTGTGGTTCTGGGTGTTGTGTGGGCACCTGTCTGGTGCACCCCGTGAGTGCACATGGCTGAGTGTTTCTGACCTGTGTGACTGCTGGTCTCCGTGTGTGTCTCTTTGTGTCTGGTTTTCTGTGTGTGAGCGTGTGTGACTGCTGGGTGTCTGGGCTGGAGTTTGCGTAGTGTTTGGGAGAGGGCTTTCTTTTCCTGCCAACTGAGGCCTGGGTTGGAGTGAGCGCAGGGGAGGCGCGTGCATGTGTGCGTGCGTGTGCACGTGTGCGTGCATCTCAGGTCTTCAGGCTGGGCTGCTGACTGTACTGGGTGTGAAATCACTGAGTTCCTCTGGCTGGGTAAGTTCTTAGTTCCTGAGTCAGCCCTTTGGCCACAAGCCACCCAGCGCTCACTTTTTCCTTTCAGAGGAAGTGTTGCTCATGGAGTCCCCAGGGCTGTTTGTAAAGAAAAGGACACCAGGG